TCAGTATACAGACAAACATATCTATAGGATTTAAACTGCAGTTATATTTAATCTGGATTAGTTTAAACACAGACACATAAAGGAGCAACATGTAACTCTGACATCTAGTGTTTAAAATGGGTACTGCAGTCCAAATTCTAAACATCGTAGAGAGCTGTCTCCCCCCCCCTCCCTCCTCTCTAGAGTCGATGCTCACCAGGTCACCATGTGGTGGTCACTGAAGCTTCAGTGTTTAGCCAGCTCTGAATCTGTCTGTAAACCTTGGGAAAATTTGGAACATTTGTCAAATTTGCACAGTGTGCAGGAGTTTGCACGCAATATTTTCTCATTAAAAAAAATAAACTGCACAATATTGAGTGTTGAGGATGTATGGAAAAGGTATTGATATTGTTTGATTTTTACGAGTATCATATTTAATTTTAAATTTCTGGTGTGGTAGAAACTCTCTTAAGTCAGTGGTTCTCAACTGGTCTAGCCTCATGACACACAACCAACTCCCTTGTGATGAATTGCGACCCAAATTTCAGATATAGTTTGGACGAAGGCGGTACAAAACATGATAGAAAATACAGAATCAAACAAGCATGCTTTGAAAGCTCTCTGTTAACTTTTTTACACAATAGTTTTTTTCTTCCTGTTTGTTTTTAGTTGTTCCACTGCTCTAAGTGATGGTCTAGTGTGTAGATGAGTAGAGAGACTGTACAGCTGATTTCTGTCCCCAGTGTTGACCTGCCTGTGGAAAGATAAGAAACACAGATTTCCTCTGTTCTTGCTGTTTGACTCAGTCAGTCACTGAATGGCAGCCAGGATAGTAACAGGATGTCCAGACTCAAACTCTATTCTGCTTCTAACTATCCAATATAAACATCCGTCATCCTCTGGCTGTAAACACTTGAACTTTGGATCCCTGTAGACAACTTGATTTACATTCTTGTTTAATGAGCCACAGCACGTTTGTTGGATGTCGATGTGTTTTTGTGTATTCAGATTCAGACACTGGAGAGTTAAAGTAATCAGTGACTAACGTCCTCAGGGTAATCAGGGAGGATCTGAAAGGAGATAATATGTTGGACCTCTGCCCCAACTGTCTTCTAGACATCAACCTTGTCTCACATTGACACATTTAGAAGAGTTGAAGTACTTCTCTGTTTTAAACAATAACAGGAAGTTGTCAGGAAGCCAACAAAATGGAACAATCGTTTAATATCTAAAGTGAGCGGTCACCACAAAGGCTGAACTGAAATGAGACGCTGTGGTCGACAGAGCATTCTCTGTTTGTGTCACCAGCTCTCCCTGTCCTTTACCCTTTCATTTCCAAGCGCCGTCCCAGAAAAGGAACTAGCTAACATAGCTAACGTCACATAACTTGAGATGACACCAGTTTCTAACATTCGCTTCAGAGTCGGCCAGCTCATTTGAATCGGCACACAATGACTCTCAGGATATGTTGGGCCACAAAGGATGCAGCTGTTGGATCCTTCGTGGCCAGGTAAAGAAGGATGCATTTGATCGAGACTTCCGAAGTGGGACAGCCTTCGATGCTCCCCTGAGCCCTCTGAAGGTCGAGCCCTTATAAACGGGTCGTAGCGGTTGATCTGAGGTCTCTATATACTCTGTATTAAACCCGACGTTGTGTTTCTTTTTAGGTTTTTGGAAATCACGAGTTTGACAACGGAGTGGAAGGACTCATGAAACCGTTCATGGAGAATATCAAGTGTCCCGTTCTCAGCGCTAACATCAAACCTGACAAGACTCTGGCCTCGACGTTTGGAACCTCATACTTGCCTTATAAGATCCTCAACGTGGGCGGGGAGAAGGTGGGCGTGGTGGGATACACGTCACAGGAAACTTCAGCTCTGTCTAAACCTGGTGAGTCGCTGTGAATGTGACTCTGTGCTGGGCCCCACTTGAAGTCTGATGAGCCATCCAAAAGTCCTAATTCACCTTTCCCTTGTTGTTGTTGTTGTTGTTGTTGTTGTTGTTGTTCAGGACCTCACCTGAAGTTCGAGGATGAGGTTCCCGCCCTTCAGCTGCAGGTGGACAAACTGCAGACTCTGGGAGTGAATAAGATCATCGCTCTGGGTCACTCAGGATTCACCATGGATCAGGAGATCGCCAAGAAGGTCAGAGGGGTGGACGTCGTCATCGGTGGACACACCAACACCTTCCTCTACACAGGTAACTTCCATCTCTGTTATCTAAACGTTTAGTAAAGGTGCTAATAATCTGATTGTATTCAGATTAAATTCCCGACATCTTCAACTACATTTCAACAAGAAGACTCAAGTCAATAACATTTAGGAGTCAGCTGGAGGCCCAAACCTCAGACTGAAAGTAAGGCGTACAACTCTGAAATCATGCTGTGTACGTTAAATAGACTGATGGTCAAAGTCTTGAGATTAAAGCTTTGACATGGAAGCGGGGGAAGTGTGTTGTGACTTTGATGAGTGAGTTGTTTCCTATTCCAGTTTTGTTTCTTCATTCCTCTTAAAAACCCGCTCCCCTTTTTCCCTCATAAAACTAGCAGGAAGTCATTGACAGGAAGTGTCTGCTTGCCTCAGTTATTTTATTTTGCGTTCATTCTCAGTGAACTGTGTTTTTTTTTTCTCCTGGGCTGCAGGAAACTCGGACTCTGCACACATGTGGTTAGCTTGAGTGTAAATACGCTGCGCCGTGTGGACACAAGGCCACAAACACTGCAGGACATAAAAAGTGTTTTTCTGTGGTGAAGTTCAGGCGGTGTGAGAGTGTGACGAGTTTAGACTCACAGAGGAAGAAAGTTCTTTAAGATGACAGTGCAGAACACTGCAGTGATTCGGTTCAACAAATACCAACGGAGAAAAACATAAACTTAGCATCAGTAACTTCTGCTAGCTTTCATTGATTTACCAGAAACAAGCTCTGAGATTGCAATAATCATATTTTCTGACATTTATAAGAGGCCTAATCTTTTATTAAACACTTAGTTTAAGCTCCACTGTTGTATCTTTGGAGATTTTGATAAACCTTTTGATTCCAGTCAAAAAACACCTGCATCTGTCACAGAAACTCTTAAAGTCTTTAAATGTGATGTTTCACACTTAAATATAGAAATCAAGTCTATCCTCTGAAAATAACTCTGTGAGTCATGACTGTCTACAATGGGTGTAACACCCGAGTCCCACTGTCTGTGATGTTTTCAGAGTTTTCAGAGTCCTATCTTCACTTTGTTTACATCGCCGGGACGGCCGGCTGACTCCTCCCCTCGTGTATAAAAGTTGTTTAATTGAGGGACTAGAGAAAAGAAGAATAACATACTGTACTCACTGCTTAACTGTGTTTCTAGATCACGCTCATTTCAGGTAAATTTACATGCAGTGTGAAGATACCAGCATAATAAAGATCACTAGCATTAGCATGCTAACACAACAATGCAGCGCGAGTTGTTTTGGTTTAATGCTGGTGCTCAAGGGCGACATCTGCTGGATCAAAAAATCACATATAAAGCCTTTAAACGCCACCGACCATGACTCTGTTGTTTTCTAGGAACGCCTCCGTCTTCTGAAGTCCCCGCTGGTCTCTATCCCTTCATGGTGAAATCAGACGACGGGCGGCAGGTTCCTGTCGTGCAGGCCTACGCCTTCGGGAAATATCTGGGTTATCTTAAAGTGACCTTTGATGGTGCTGGAAATGTAGTGAAGTCCACGGGAAACCCCATCCTGCTGGACGGCAGCATCGCTCAAGGTAAAGACCTCAAAGTCTGAGCAACTGAAACTTGTGGGCTGTGTCCTCGACTTTCATATGAATGAAATATCTCTTCCAGATCCGGAGTTTCTTGCGGACGTTGAGGAATGGAAAAAGAATCTGGCCAACTACTCGGCCCAGGAGGTGGGAAAGACTCTGGTCTTCCTGAACGGGACCACCGAAGAGTGCCGCTTTCGGGAATGCAACCTGGGAAACTTGATCTGTGATGCCATGGTAAGAGTCGGACTGTTTGTTGAGGGATCTACCGGCCGAGTTCTTTCTGATTTTAGTTCAGACCTCCAAAGAGCCAGGAGCCACCAGGCCTCATGTTCCTGTGATGTTTTTAAACCGTCTGTTCCCCCGTGTCCTCAATCAGCTCGTGTGCTCACTGAGTTTGTGTCCTCAAAGCGCTTGTGTCCTCATCCAGCTTGTGTCCTCACTGAACTCGTGTCCTCACTGAGATCAGGTCCTCATCCACCTTGTGTCCTCATCCACCTCGTGTGCTCACCGAGCTTGTGTCCTCACCAAGCTTTCGTCCTCAACGAGCTTGTGTCCTCAACGAGCTCTTGTCCTCACCAAGTTTGTGTCCTCAACGAGCTTGTGTCCTCATCCAGCTTGTGTCCTCATTCACCTCGTGTCCTCACCGAGCTTGTGTCCTCATCCAGCTTGTGTCCTCATCCAGCTTGTGTCCTCACCGAGCTTGTGTCCTCATCCAGATTGTGTCCTCATTCACCTCGTGTCCTCACCAAGTTTGTGTCCTCAACGAGCTTGTGTCCTCATCCACCTCGTGTGCTCACCGAGCTTGTGTCCTCACCAAGCTTTCGTCCTCAACGAGCTTGTGTCCTCAACGAGCTCTTGTCCTCACCAAGCTTTCGTCCTCAACGAGCTTGTGTCCTCAACGAGCTCTTGTCCTCACCAAGTTTGTGTCCTCAACGAGCTTGTGTCCTCATTCACCTCGTGTCCTCATCCACCTCGTGTGCTCACCGAGCTTGTGTCCTCACCAAGCTTTCGTCCTCAACGAGCTTGTGTCCTCAACGAGCTTGTGTCCTCATCCAGCTTGTGTCCTCATTCACCTCGTGTCCTCACCGAGCTTGTGTCCTCATCCAGCTTGTGTCCTCATCCAGCTTGTGTCCTCATCCAGCTTGTGTCCTCATCCAGCTTGTGTCCTCATTCACCTCGTGTCCTCACCAAGTTTGTGTCCTCAACGAGCTTGTGTCCTCATCCAGCTTGTGTCCTCACTGAGCTTGTGTCCTCATTCACCTCGTGTCCTCATTCAC